TTAATAACAAAGTGGAAATTCGATCTTCAACTGTTAATATCTTCTAGAAATTTTCGATATTTTTCTCGTACTCCCCAAGTGAGCCTCCATCACCCCTTAAAAGGAATGACGCCAATTTTGAATCACCCGGTATACCCTTAGATTAAATGAACTAATGGGGGATTGTATACAGGGTGATTCACGTCCAGGGCACAAATTTGTGCAACTAAGTAAGCAGATCGTGGATAGTAGTAAGTACCAATGACTGGGGTGTTTTAAATGAGACACCCTGTAAATTCAAAATCAAAAATTCCAAAGGCCATTTGACACTTTCTGATTAGTTACGCTTCGCAGCGCCCCCATCGGTAGTTGAACGCGCGAGTAGTGATATATTTGTCATGTTTCTTTATGACGATATTCAACGAAATTTTATTTTTTTACAAGCCAGTTTTTCACTGCTTTTGGCCTAAGGAGCCTCCGAATTTTCAAAATTGCGGTGTTTGGGGCAAGTTTTCCGTGCACATTCTCCTTAAAAGTCTAACGCACCTTCCATCGCGCCCTGTATATAAAAGCCACAGCCTGGTAGCCACCTCAGATAACCGATTGAATAAAAAAGTCGTCCTTAAGTCCTCTCTCGTTAAAGTTGAGATGTTGCCCGTTAAATTTGGTCCTTCGAGCCGAATGGAGTGTTAGCAGTTACACCGCATTAACAAGCCTCTCTCATCCTTATTATGTGTTATCTCTGTTAGTAAGTAGTGTTGCTCGATAGTTCGTTTAGTGAGGTAACTGAACCTCATGACGGTCGCTTTTTTCCAGGCGCTGGAGTGAAGATGGAACACTTCCAAGCGGCGCTCGACCCCCGGAAACAGGAACTATTAGAGGCGCGCTTCTTGGGTGCTAGGGTAAGTAGCAACACACGCTTCTCGTTCTAGATTCGGCCCCCACCCCGCCCACTCCATGGAAAGCCGGAAAAAACGTACTTTCCACATCGGATCGATGTAGATAAATGTATTTTCGGAATCGAGTAGGTGGCTGTTTGGTTTGCTTAATGCCGCGACGATCATCATCAAAGTCGAGATTGTGTCTGAGGCGCGTAACGTGCTGAAAAGAGCAATGACACAATATGGCTGCCACTGCCTTTGTCCAATAAGCACGGCCCAGTGCAAGGGCAGTATACCTACATGGTAATGAGAGACAAAGAAAGACGGAGGAGTCAAAGGAGGCTTTGCGAAATCATCGAGCATTCCAATGGAAATGATACCGGCGGCACCGACTGTTCTCCTGCGGTTCAGGCTTTACAGAATCGTTTTTGCACGCCAAACTGCGTTTTTTTTAGTGAAAAAGCATTTCCATTCAAAGATTTATCCGCTTTACAAAATTCGTTATCAGATGACCCCGTGTTGAATTGAACAACAAAGTCTACACAGGTATGAAAACGGTGGGCGGTGTTTCTCAGTAAAATCGGGCAAAGCGGCAACGTTGCCCCGTTAGGCCGCCTCTTATTGCCCGAGAGAAGAGATTCTCGGCGGGCTATGGAAATCGGGCCACTTCTGTTGTTTTGTGTGTAAACGTAACCCGTTGAAGGCCCAAGACAAGCACCGCGTCACCGTGTAAGTGCGATAAGTGGCACTCAACGTTGCCGGATTGCGGGAAAATTAGCGAGTCAACCCGAAAACTGCCAGCGGACGCCGGTGCCTCTGTCCTAGCGTTGGTATGTTGCTGGACCCATGGGGGGCTTTTGCTGCTGGTAGTGCACCGGAATTGTGTCGGCAACTGATGGGTTAACAACCAATTTATTGTTAACTCGACAGTCGTCAGCACGGGGATAATCGCGCCAGTGTGGCAACACGGCGGCGTTTTCCAGTCGCATAGCAAGGCGAGCGTTGAACTTTCAAACACTGCTTCGCGCACCCGACCGACATTAGCGACGGCGACGTCGCCTGTTACGTCGACGGACGTCGTTCAGCCGCCCGCCCGCCCAAACAGCCGGTGCGAAAGCAGTGCGCGGGTCATGGACTGGTGCGCGCGACTTCCTCACGCTGCCATGTTGCCGGATTTGCAAAAAAATAACTCGTCTTGGGTGCAAACATCAAAGGGATCTTTTGCTTGTTCAACAAGCAGTTTGCAGTAAAGATGACGCGAGAAAAACGGAGTTTGGATGAATTACTACTGAAACATTAATGTGGGATGAATGCATTTAACTTACTAAGCTGTGTTCATTTGTTTCAGGTGAGTGTCCCTAAAGAGCTTCCCAGTGTGACAGATCCGACTATAAGTGACGTAAGTAGACATGATAGTTCAATATTGATCAGTGGCGTCTTTTTTTTTTAATTGTTGTTCATGTTCGTTCCCGATTTCCGCAAATTTCCACTGCATTGGAAAATAGTCGTTTTCGATAAGAGCGAAAGCGTCGACTTCGTCTCGGGTTTTGTGGTTCGAAAAGGGGATTTTCGCCCTCGAATCGAATAATATTTTTATTCAACTGGCATAATACGAATAATCAGTTATAATAAATAAGATTAGCCAAAATTCAAAGGCTTCGCTTTCATATCAAAAAAATGTGTTGAATGTAGCATTTTGACGTGTGTAATGACGTTTACAAGTGCAGCAATGAGTGTCCAAAAAGGAGCGGCTAATTGTAGCCCCCTTGGAATACATTGTTGCTAGATTTCAGCTGATTTGAAGCGTTATTATAGAAAGAGAGCGAGAGAAAATGAGAAAGATATTATTATATATTAACCGAGTTATTTAAGATATCGGTAAAATAAATTATTTCCGATTTAAAATGTCTACCAAAAATCAGTTTAAGATTTCTAATGTTGAAAGACTTTTAAGAAAATTAATTAAAATAATATACATTATAGTTTGAATAAATTTTACTTAAATAAAAACATAGTCACAATTTACGCAACGATATAAACAAACAAAATTAAATTTAAAAATTCTTTCCTAAAGTTCTTCGATTGTATTCACTTCTGGTGAATATACCATACTTTTTAAATGGTCCCAGAAGTAAAAATCAAGCGCTTTTAAATCGGGAGATCTAGGAGGCGAGTTTATAGGAGCTTCTTGACCTCTAGCAATCCAACGGCCTGGAAAGTTTTGATGAAGCCGAAACAATTTAATTTTTTTGCGGGCAAACTAGTGCCATTAAAAAAAAACAATAAGAGATAAAAAATTGATAAATAACTTGTAGTAATTAAAAAAATTATGTTGATAAAAGTTTAAGTGTACACAAAAAAGTTCTGAACAAAAGTAGGAGTTCCACATGTCTACCCTGTATAAAAGTAATCTGAACTACAAAACACTACCATACAATGGCTTTCAATTATCTTATAATGTGTACCAACATTTAAGTTCCCAATGTTTAACCGTTTTACAGAAAAACAACAAAAACTAATATTTTTCGCCATTTTGGAGATCAAAATCTCAAAAATAGGACCTCAAATTAAAAAAGTTCTCAGGAAGGTCCCGCTCTAAAATGACTAGGAGAACACGCTGCTAAAATATTTTAACATATTTACGGAACACCCTGTATGAATAACAATTATAAAGAAAATCGAACACAGTTTTAGTTTATTCACTGGGTACCATGATTTGTACGATAATGTTTATTGAGATTTCCCTGTGTTGAAAAGCTTTTTTGACAAATACTGCAAACATTGGAAATAG